ATAGGATTCACTGTTGCTCAGGGTGACAAGTAGAATGCATGTTTACAGAGTGAGTTGATGCTGGTAGCCCATGTCTGCATACAACCATGGTCCATTTACACCTCTGAAAATGATTCTAGGGGCTTGATCCCGCAAAAGCTTTGGTTGCCAATAAAGTAGGAGAGTACTAAGCTGTGCTTCTGCAATCGTACCTTCAAGCTGCAGAAGTCTAATGCTTTCACTTTCACTGTTGTTAGGTTCCCACTGATCTTTTTTGAGAGAGACAATTCTGGGTTGTTTTTTTCTGCCCTGTGTTCAAGGGCAGGGAAACCTACAACTGCTGCTTTTTTTAGATCTGTATCACTGTTGTCTCCCTCTCATGACATACCTCTAGTACGAAATTCTTTGTATTTACTGTCCAGTGCATTATCTCATGTCTTTAAAGTTAAAATCTGATTATTTTTTCATTTTAATCTCTCACTGATACATATTACAAGTTGTGCGTGTGTGTATATATATATATAAAAATAAAACTTTGTAACTCAGTAGGATGCTGGAATAGGGGAAAAATACTTTTCTAGCGAAGCAAAAGTGAATATTCTGTATGAAAGTGTTTAAAGATACATTATAAATTAATGGTTTATAATTTGTTCTTTTATTTTAGAGGAACCACAAGATATCTACTGGTTGGCCCAATGTCTTTACCTAACAGCTCAGTATCATAGGGCAGCACATGCCCTTCGATCGCGTAAGTTGGATAAGGTAAGTCACTTTAGTCAAAAACTACTGTTATTCCACTTTTAAACCTCTGCTGCTAACCACAGTGACTTCTTCACCATCAGAGGATAAGGTTTACGGGAAAAGTAATTAAAAAACCTGCATGATGTAGTTTATCTGAACCAAGTATAGCCCTGTGTTCAATCGGCCAGATTCAAACTGTTGTCCCCAGATAGGGTCACAGAAAGAGAAAGGGGTCCAAGGATGTAACTGCAGCAGGTATGGGAAGGTGGAGTGTCACTTCAGGTGCAGTTGTTTAAATTGTCCTTCCACTCTGCTAGTGAGTGGTGAAGGCAAGAGTGAAGTAAGCGTCCTTTGAGAGTTTAATAGTAGAGAAAGCGTTACAGACTTAGTCATTTTGGTCAGGAAAGATTTTTGGAGGTGAAGGGGATGAAGCCGCCATACAGCTGAAAAAGGAGAGAGCGAAATGGAGTCTAGCAGTGTAAGTACACATGCTCTCTCTTTATAACTAATATGTATGAAACTTCTCTTTCAGTTATATGAAGCATGTCGCTACCTTGCAGCTAGATGTCATGTGAGTACGCATTTTAACCTCCATTGGAAACAAACCAAACTAAGTAAAAGATGCATCTCGGGAAGATTAGGTACCTGACAGGCAATGTCAATGTCTATGTTCATTGGAATAACAGGTTTAAATTTTGTGAGAGTTGATTTCATTCTTTAACCTTCAGTATGGTCACTGGAGTATCCATTGTGGTACTATTCTGAAGAAATCCAACCAACCTTTTTTTCCAGGAAAGAAAATACTCCTCTAATATTTTGTGGGGAAAGAATGTGAACCGTTTTTGTCTCATGTCTTCATGTTTACATTTTTAATTGGTTGGTTGTAGTCTGACCAGAGGAGATGTGATTTATGGTTGTATAAATATAGTTCGCAGCTTTATACTTCTGTATAAAATGTGATACATAAATAGTAAAATGCAGTGCTTTCACCGGAAAACTGAATCAATTGGTAGGTTAAATATAGAAATTTGAAATAGAATAATGTGCTGCTTATAGAATAAGATCATTGTATTTTATTAAAACGTGTGTTAACTATTTTTAGAAGCGTATCTGCTTCTGTGATTGCATAATGCTGAATAATAGATTTTTCTGTAGGTGTTAATTTTATAATTTTTTGCGTATTATAGATGACTAGTAAAATAGTTGGCTGCAATTGTAAAATGACATATGTCCAAATAAGAATATGCATGCATGAAAAACCTGCTGATAAGCACTGGTTGTTACAGTCTGTGCCTTTGAAATGTGGCACTGTGTTTATTGGTGCTTTACGTACAGATGTTTCAATGCCCAACCTTGTTTTTTACATGCACATGTTTGGCTAGTATGCTGCAAAAGAACATCAGCAGGCCCTGGATATTCTTGATATGGAAGAGCCAATCAACAAAAGACTTTTTGAAAAGTACTTGAAGGATGAAAGTGGACTGAAAGACTCCACCACAGACTGGGAGATGTCACAATCCTCTGTAAGTGACGTTTTTTAAACAAATATTTTTATAACTGAGAAAAAAATGTGTGAAGTCAGAAAGTGATTTTACAGCTATATGAATCTGAAACTGTGTGTTTAAGCTTTCTTTTTTGGATAACGTAATTTTCAAAAGTGCTGAATTGTTCTCCTTTCAGTCAGAAGTCGTGTTAGCTTGCCTGTATGAGAATAACTTGGGTTGCAAAAATGAGGAGTGCTTTTCAACAACTTCCTGTAAATTATTTGCAGACACTTTGCAGGAAGTTAATGATCTAGCATTGGTTTTTAGAGTCTTTTAGCTCTATGCTGCAATTTCAGTCTTGATAATGTAAACTAACACTTCTGTCAATTGGGCTGCAGGTTCTGAGATAACAAAGCAAGTTTTCTTCTTCTCCAGATATTTTTAATGAAGTATTTCCTTAATCGTTCAGGTGTTCAGTGGGACATTTTTTGCTCATACTTGAAAATTATGTGACGTGAAGGTGTTGCAGAGGCTCACAAAATCAAATTAGGCAGGTGATAGATTAAAAAATAAACTTTATTTAAACCAAAATTGTTTAGCAGAAAACTGACTAGAAATGAGGCGTCAACACTCCGACAACATCAGTAAACCACAGGTTCATGATGGTGTACGAGGAATTAATACTGCATAGCTGGCTTTAGAAATGAGGGTCCAAAATGTGCCCAATCACTCACCTATAAGATGAGGCCTCTCAACCTCCCGGAGTTTACTTGGGCGGCATCCCGACCCAAGGGGAGAGTGTCCGACTGCAGACCCGCTGCTCCGAGGAGGACCAGCTCCACTTGCCCTCCGGTGGGGCTCCATTTATACCCTAGTTGAATCTGATCTGTGGTCAGTTCTAACTGGCTGAGGGCCTTGACTTTCTTACTCCTTGCCCAAGGTGTATATGTGACCATAATTACTGGCACAAAGAGTGTACGTGACGGTCAGCCCTCACCACTGTGAGGGCACGAAAAGTAAGGACACAGTGGTCTTAATGCCCCCAGTCCTTATCAGGGCGGGTGCACATGCCACAGAAGGTGAAGTTTTTGAAGCCCAGTTTTTGAAGCATACAGTTAAAAGGAACCAGTACCACATGTAGGCTGAAGAGCCTGTGAAGAGTCTTTACTTTCAGTTACGAATTGAAGTTTATTAGCTGAAACTACAGTGAAAGTGATTGACAGATGGCATTTTCCCTGTAAGACTGAAGTAGCAAAATGGGTTAAATCATCGATGTGAACTGATTTCGTATGCTGGTATTAATGGGCTTAAGGGAGAAGTGGATTAGACTGAGTTACTGTGGTGCGCCTTAATGGGAACATTTAAGGTACCACTGCAAGCAAAGGAAGAAGTCCTCAGCTTTGTTCTTGCTCCCTTGCTCCCTGTTTCATGGTACTCTGGCCCAAGTGTTTGGGTGGCTGATTATTGGACTGAATTGGGAAACTGTTTCAGCTGAAAAATAACCCAGCCAAAAAACTTGACTTCCATCAGTCCTTACCTTCACAAATGCTTGTGATAGTGTAGTTCACTAATGCAAGGATGGGTTTGGTTTGCCAAAGGAGAGAACTACTGAAGTGGGTACTGCTACAAAAAATTTTAAATCAAACTCTTCTCTGGGAATGTAGCTTTTTCAAACTTAATTTGATTAGTTTGCACAGACGCTAGTTCTAGAGTAAGAATGACTGGTCTCTGAGCTGGTAATAATATTAGCACTTTAGCAGCCCCCTGGGGTTTATTAGTTGTTAATACAGCTATACTGTTTCTAGTGCGTGGACTCCTGAGAGAGTTGGTCTGTCTGGTTAGTCTGATGATACAGATACCTAACGTGTGAACTTGGTCTCCAAGTACCTTGCTGACGCTTCTGTTGCCTTCTGACTGAATTGAACACCCATCTATGGAGTTTTGAAAGAATATGTTAGTTATTAGACTAACATGCACAACTTTAACTATGGTGATAATGATCTTTCATTTCTGAAACATCTATGTTTTGGGTTGAAAAGAAGGATATATTTTTCTGCTCAAAGTAGTTGAGTCCATTGATTTGGCCTTTTTCATCTCTACTGCGGTCATTCTTGTCTTGCATGAAATACGTGGTTTAATAGTCAGCAAAAGAAGTGAATTGCCTTTGGAAGTGACGATTTCCCTGTGTTGACTATGAAGGGAATTTAGTATAAATAGCTTACAACTCAGTATCAGAGAGCTGGATGCTGGAAGTAGGAAAGATAAACTCTATCCTCCCTCTACTTACTTCAAGCATGTGTTCGTTTGGCAGTAGATAACCTGACAGAGCATTCATTTCATTTTTTTTTTTTAAGCTAGTAGAGACAATATTTTATTTAAAGACAGCACTAGAAAACCGGGTTCCATCATACATGAAATGCTTTTTACTTTTCAGGGAGCCCATTTGATTTGTGCTCAAAACCAAATTGCAAACATTGATTCAGTCTTTGACCTCCAGCCCTGCTTTTCCACCAGATCAAGAGCTCTATATGCCTTTTGCGAGGGAAGATCTATGATGCTTTGGATAATAGAACCCTAGCAACATACAGCTACAAAGAGGCCTTGAAGCTTGATGTTTACTGCTTTGAAGCATTTGATCTTTTAACATCGCACCATATGCTGACGGCACAAGAAGGTCTGGATAGCAGTGTTTCTCAAATACAAGTAAAATTTAGCTGTTTTCTCAACATGCCTTTTCCCTGGGTAAAAATTAAAGCAATACCACAAGTAACAGACTTTAAAATGTTAAGAATAGAAAAATGTATGAAATGAGTGAAAGTTATAATCTGCTCAAATTTACATTTGAACTTTATTTTTCAGTCTTGCGGTGCTAAGAATTAAAAGCAACAAAGTAACCCAGCTGTCCTGTTTGTTAGCTCCGGAAGCTCCCATGCTCTTTGCCCAGCCTAAACAATGTTTTTCCTGTGTTCTCAACTTCACAGGCTTTGAATCCACGAAACCCTACTGGTGGTTGCTTACTTCATAGTAGTCATTGCTTAATATAGCATTCTGAGTGATAAAATTTGACATGTAGAGTAAATAAAAATAGTGGTGTGTTATGTCATCTTTGTTAAATTTTATTTAAAAGTGTAGAAGGAAAAACTAAGAATTCAATCATTAATTTCCATAATTAGTAGTATCATTTGGTTTAGTGTATCTGTGCTGTTATCATCCTTGTAGTTTTGGGATGAGCATCATTAAATTCTTTGTATCTCTAAGTTCTTAAAATGTTGGATCTTGCCGTTTCTTCTGTAATATGACCACTTCAAATTTTTTTTTAATTCACATAGAAAAAGAACTTCTTGAATCTCTACCTCTTAGTAGACAATGTACAGAAGAAGAACAAGAACTGCTTCACTTTTTATTTGAGAATAAATTGAAAAAGGTAAACCCCCAAACTGACTAAAAAGCTGGATAATTGATTGAAAGTCTTGACTTCAGATGTAAATTTTCTTGGATTCCATTTATTCTGAACATTGGAATAAATAAGGGCTTTGTAGTTTTGGATATTTTAAAATTTATGATGCAGTAGATACCACTTTATGTTATGGGTGTAATAGTTTTGTGTAAACTTATTTTCTGGTGTGGTGACAACTTGAAATTCTGATTTTATTTTTTTTTTTTAGCTTTATTCCTTGACAAACTTCTAGGTGGGGAAAAAGAACACTAATTATATAGGCAAAATGTCAGTTACCTGAAAATACTAGGATATAGCAACGTTATTCTAGACTAGTTTTTCCAAAGATCATGTGAGAGCACTGAGAAGAGCCCACTATATATTGCTCAGTATTCATTTCTGCAGGCTACACGTAAGATACTGACACTGGCAAGCATCTTTCATGTTCTAAATGAGCTTTTAAGTACATTATAAAGAACCATTTTACCAAATATGTGTTTTATGGACTTTCAGTTTAAAACTAAGAATTTTAAGGAGCTTAATGCTTCTTAAACATTCTTTTAGAACTCAAAATATTAATACTTATGTCATCTGATTTTAGATTGGTTGTTGTTTCACATGTTGTTTCTTTTGTCTTTCAGTATAATAAACCCAGTGAAACGCTGATTCCTGAATCAGTAGATGGTCTTCAGGAAAACCTGGATGTGGTAGTATCCTTAGCTGAAAGACATTATTATAACTGTGATTTCAAAATGTGTTACAAGCTTACTTCGGTGTAAGTATACAAAGCAACTGTGAGGGTTTTTTTCTCATATGGTGTAGTATAATAATTATGCCTGGACTTAGAGTGAATATCATTGTTCAGTGCATTGACATACATAACAATTTGATACAAAGTTTCAGGTATTTAAAAAGTGTACTTTGTGTCTGGGAAGACACATTATTTTTATGATATGTAGCAGAAATATCCAAAGCAAAACACCAGTCAGTCGGCACTGTGCTGCACTGCCCTTCATCCATCCTCTTCCTTACTCTGGTATCTTCAGTTTTGTGTGTTCTTTACCTACTTCTTGTCTGGCCTTCAGAACAAACAGGTTTGGATCAGTTGGTTAGTTAGGAAGTGTGATTACTCTGGCTGATTAAAAGTTGTATTAATTTTGATGTGCCAAGTATTGCATCTCAGTTGTTAGGTAGCCCGGGCATACACTGCTGCTGAGTTGTCAGATGGGTCAGAACAACAACATGGATTGTTTCTCAGCCACTGTAAATGTGAACACATGATTGTGGAGCTATTTTTTCTGCTGGCCTGACAACTGCCTTTTTAAGAAAACTATATCTTTGTGTATGTATGGCATAGACTCCGAATATATCAGTGGTATAAAATAGAAGGGTTTTTGTTTCGTGGTGGGTTTTTTTTTATAGTACAGCTTTTTCTTAGCTGAAGCAAGCCATCACTGTAGAATATCCCATGGAACCCAGTACAGGCAAGATTTTCGGGAAGGCTGTGGAGAATGCTGACAGTTATGGTGAATTTAAACATCTGAGTAAAATCATGATCCTGTTGAAATGAATTACTCCAATTACTATTGCATCTTTGTTTCTGAAACTTAATTGCCACATCTTGTCTAGCAGAAAGTGGCAGGAGTAAATGTCTCCTAAGGAGGAGACTATCACAGATGCTAGAGCTCGGAAATGAGAGTCTGAGAACTCCATATAACTTCAAAGTTTTAGACTCTCTTCAAGAGACCATTTAATGTACTTGTTTATATGTTCTTTTATGCTTTTCATTTGAAATAATTTGAGCTATTTTAAAATGTCAGCTAAACCTTTAACTATTTCAAGGTGTACTTCTCAGAGAATTGAGTCATAATGTTGTACTTCTGATTTAAAAGATTCTGTGACTAGATTTCAAGACATCTTTTTTTGCTCTTAGTTTACCAAATGCCAGTGCTTACAGAAAGGACACATGCCTACAAGCCATGTCCTACATGCAGTCTGTTGTGTGTGAGACTATCTTCCATTTCTAAATGCCACAGGAAATAAAAATTTAAAACTGAGCTAAATTTGTTTTCTGAGGCATACTGCTTAATGTTAAGCTCAGAAAGCTGGGGACTATTGCTTGAAAGTTGCTGTCAAACGTATGGAAAAGATGAACAGAAATGTTGTTGCTTGCTGTTTGCTGGTTAAATTTGAAGTGACTTGCAAACAAACATGCATTGTATTCTGTTTTTCTAATTGTATATTTAGCTTGCGAGAATTTTCTGTTATCCTCTTCTGTTAAGCTAAATTAATATTTATTTTTCTGGTCTTAAGATAGCCTTTATTATGCTGTTAATAGTTACCTTCTAGTCACAAATAGTTCTCCAGTGCCTAAAGTGGTAATTAACTGGAACATTACACACTGTAAAAGCCCCTTGCTTATAACACATTAAAATTTTTGAAATGTGCATTGCAGATTTTTTTTATTTATTTTTTTTAGAGTGATGGAAAAAGATCCTTTCCATGCAAATTGTTTACCTGTGCATATAGGGACACTCGTGGAGCTTAATAAAGCAACTGGTAAGAAACACAACATTTAATGAGTCAAAAGAAGATTGTAAAGCTTCAATTTTAAAAAAGAATTAAGGATGCCAAGAAACCCCCTTATAGAATTTATTATACTTAATACATAAAATACATATATCTTTCCTCCTACCTGCAGTTTCAAGAAAACAGTGGTAACTGGAAAAGAAGGGAGTTTCAGAGCTGACAGCGGTGGGGCGGGCAGTAGTTGCAAAGAGTCTTTATTCGTTCATGATCATGAGTGTCACTGTCTTATAGCCACTGGGCTACGTAGCCAGAAAGTTAGGGAGCTGCACTGCTTCATTTCTCGTTTGATTTCTGTTTTGAGGTGATATTTCTAGAGTATCTGGGTGTACTTTTTCTGCTCAACAACAAAATAAAATATATTAATTTAAACTAGGAGGAACTCTTCAGCAGTGTGTATGCTTAGGTAGACGTGTTTTTTCCATATTAGAAAAAATTCTAGACTCTCCTTGCCTTTGCTGTTGTGAAGGCCACTTTTTAGTTCAAACAAGTTAATAATCATGCAGCACCTTTGTTGGAATTACAAGAATAGCTTACTTGCAGCTGGCATGGCTTTTTCTCATTTCAGACTGCATATAAAAATCCAAAGCAAGTGAGGAGCTTGAATGTCTTTAAAACCAATTGGAAAATAGAATAAGGAGCTCATATGATTTGCAGTCTCTCAAAGGACGGTGCATTGTATGTACGCAAATAGGTCATTAGGTGTACTAGTACTTCTCAATGTTTACTAAATGTACTTTTCAGTTACTTTACAGTTAACTACATCTGAAAATGTGGCCAGTACTCTGATTTTTCCTTCTAAGTCTGCCTTGAGAAGCATTTTGTAAATAAGTTGATATTTTGTAAGCCAGTTTTCATATTTAATTCTTATGAAGCCAAGAATTGATGCAAAGTACTCCAGGACAAACTCATCAATTTAAGAGCACTGTACTCTGAAGAAATAGAAATTTTATGTACTGTAATGCTGTTTCTTTTGAAATTGCATAGGCAATAGAATTGTTATCCTGTATTTGATTACTTCTGCTGTTACTAGAAAATCCATAGTAAGTTATGTTAATAACTAGGATTATTATTTTATTAGAAAAGTAATCACTTAAATTATTATATCATTTTGAATACTTCTATTTGCTTTTTGTCCTATTTACAGTATATTAATGCACAGGACTCTACTTTGAAATTGATCTAGCCAACATGTTATACCTTTTAGGTGTAGGAAGGTCAATAGTGTTTTACCTTGATGGGATACATTCAAGTGTAATACTACAGGCATTTATTTTAATGTATGTTAATGACCTAAGTTGTTGCAGAATTCTTAAGGGGTGGGATGTACAGCTGCTTATGTGCTGTGAAGACTTATGGGTTGGTTGGGGTTTTTTTTAGTTAATTGCAAAACTAAATCTATTTGGAGGCAGTTTGAAGCATTACCACTAAACAGCAAACATTTTTGTTCACTTGTGCATTAATAATGTTCAACGTTCTGGATATTTTGTATAGAAAGCTAAAGGGCTTGAAACATCTTAATGTTTTAGCATGTTTTAATTTTATTTTCTTGTTTCTTCCCATTATGTAGAGCTTTTCTATCTTTCTCACAAACTGGTGGACTTGTACCCAAATAATCCTGTAAGTTGTTCTAAGCCTTCATTACCAGGTAGTTTTTTCTAGGTGAAAGCACATAAAGGTTGTAATGTAATAGTCAGTTTGAGCAACAGAATTCAAAATCTGTTTCTGGATGGAGCTAGTAAAAATGGTTCACTCCTTTTATTCTCTACGCATTGTAATTTCCTTATACCGAGGTTCTTTTTATAAAACAAAGTACCTGTAAAATATATTCAATGTGAGGTATTCACTTTGAATAATAATTTAAAACAAATGCTACAGTAATAAATGTCTATGCCTCTCTGGGCAACCTTTTCCAATGTTTGATCACCTTCATAGTGAAAATTATTTTCCTTTTACTCAGTCTGAATTTCCCATGTTGCAATTTGTACCCATTGCCTCCCATCCTATCACTGCACCTCTGAGAAGAGTCTGGCTCTGTCTTCTGTATTCCCTACCATTAGATAACTGAAGACAGCAATAGGCTTTCCACTTAGCTCTCTCTTCATGAGGCTGAACAAACCCACTTAGAGACGTACATGCCTGCAGCAGTTCTATCTTGTCTGTAATATCAAATAATTTGAAAAGCTGACTGTGATTTCGGTGAAAATGTTCCTAACTTCTCTAATTATAATCCGTTCCTCTGTTTTGGATCACCTATGGTGATGTTTCACTAAAATCAGTGTGATATATCTAATAATACTCTATTTTGATTTTGATGTGTAGGTGTCATGGTTTGCAGTAGGATGCTACTATCTCATGGTGGGCCACAAAAATGAACATGCCAGAAGGTATCTCAGGTAATTTTTTTTTTCCGGTTTTCCTTGGTGAATCTGTTGCTCACTTGCTAAATAAGTATTTAATGTCCACGATTGTTTGTAAGCTCATAAAGTAAACAGAAGCCTTGGTAAGCTGGTTACTCCTAAAATATTCCTTTTGTTGACACCTTTTTTGGTATAGCCATTTAGACCTCAACCTTCTAGATACTTTAAAAATGACATACAGACTTATGTGGAATCTCTTTTGGCAGTCACCTTCCTGTTATGGGCCGGTGTAGTCCCTGCATTCGCTCGTGCTGCCAAGCTAACTACAGCTTAGGCTATCAAGCCTCGGTTCTTAGCTTAAGGACACTCAGGCATTCTCCCAGGTTCAGGTTTCATATCTTAAAGGGAGGAGTTAGACAGAAAATTCTGACATCTGGCTGTCTAGTTCTTTCTTTGTACAAGCAGCCTTGGACTTTTTAGGTTGGTCAGTCAGTCCAATGCTCTTCCCTGCAGGTCTTCTGTATCTGTATTGATTATCAGCACTGGGGGCAGAACCTTGCTGTGAAGCAGGGCATTTGTTTTGATGCTGTAAGCTTGAACTGAGAAGGCTTACATTAACCTTTAAGGCTTTCATTTTTCTTCTTGAGACCTTTATAGACAACATATGTAAAGGTGGGTTAGTAATTGTTTAAATGCCTGGTTATTATGAGTAAATTATTTAAATTCCTGACAAGTACCAGTGTGAAATTCTTCAGGAAGCTGTCCTGAGTGACATAGGTGGTTTTGGTGGTGAAATAAAGAATATCTTTATCAAATCTGCAAGCATCCCTAGCCAGGAAGGGTCTATGGATGTGTTGGGGTGGGGGGGGGGGGGGGGGGAATAATCAGAATTCAGGGTAGTTCTGGCAAGGAGGAAAAAAGGTCTGGTAAAAGTGAAATAGCAACAAGATGCCCAAATTTTCTGGAGCAGAATGATAGTGTACAACTACAAGGCTAGAGACAACTGTGGGCTAGGCAGTAGTTTTTAGAAAAGTATCTGGAGATACCATGGATAAAAACACAAGCTCCCATATCATTGTTTTGGAGTCACAGGACGTCATGCTGGAGCATGCTGAAAAGGGTAAAAGGCACAGCTGGGCAGTGCCTGGTAGCATGTAAGGGGAGTATCATTCTGGCTGCCCCAGAAGGAGCTATCTACGTCCTTCAGATCTTGCAAAAGGGCTTCCCTCATCTCAGCACCAATTAGGAAAACATTTGTGATAGAACGTAATCCATCTTTTATAACAATGACAAAGCTGTATTGTAATGCGTCGCTGTTGACAAGTCAACATCTGTGGAGAACTCAAGACGGATGTGAGGCATTTGAATTGAATTCAAGAGAAGGCAGTAAACAAGCATTCTGGAGAAGGTGGCCAATGAGGAAAGTTTTTGAAGCGATTGAAGCCGTAGGATGTAGGGTGGGAAGATGCAAATGTTCACATATGTAAAGTTTTGTCCCAGGAGACAGAGAACAAACTGTTCTCTAGGGTCTGTGATGAGAAATAACGAGTTTAACTGTGACAAACAAAATTTAGATTAAATGTCAGGAAAAAACGAAGCATTTAAGGACAGTTAAGCAATAGAATAGATTACTTGTGAAACACGTAGGATCTCCATGTCAGAAGCTTTTAAGAAAAGATTGGGCACATCAGTCATGAGCTGTTTAGTTATGAATGCCCTTGCCTTCAGGCTGAGAAAATAACCTACAGAGCTTTCTAATGTTCCTGTCAAGTCCGTCTTTCTGTAAAGACTCCAGGTTGCAGTCTTCAGCTCAGGACTTGAGTGACATTTTGTATACTTCTCTGATGCACGGCAACTGTCTGCGATGTGACAAATACTCTTGTCTTCGTTAAGGCTAGTACAATTATATGGCAAAATTTCAATACACAGTTTAATCTAAGTGTTCATTTGGTATTTTCATATCCTGCTTGTGAAACTTACATTTACTAGAATATATTTATTTTGAAATGTATAGCTAGAATTTTGTAATACATTGAGTCACTACTAATGTTTTCTGTTCACCCATTATATCATTGTTTATGCTTAGTAATATCAAATAATTCCTGCTGTCCATGAACAGCAGCAGAAATAATACAATGAATTCTTGAAAATGTGTCATACTTTTAAGTGCTAAATAGTTTGTTGAAGTTTTTAAAATTAACTTTGTTTACCAATGGTCATTACAGAAGATTATCTTAATAGATACCGAACTATGTGGCATAGCATTGCTATGTAAGTAGTCATCTGAAGCCGATGAAATTTAATTTCAGATGTGTTTGCTTGTGACTTGCTCTTGTTTTTAGCAAAGCTACTACACTTGAGAGAACCTACGGACCTGCATGGATAGCATATGGACATTCATTTGCAGTTGAGAGTGAGCATGACCAAGCAATGGCTGCATACTTCACAGCTGCACAGCTCATGAAAGGGTATGTCAAAAATGTCATATTTAGAAAAATTAAAATTAATCCATAAATAGTGTAGAATATTGACCTATATCCCTTTAAACAGTAGGAATATATTTGCAACAATTATCTGGTAGAGAACAAAGGAGAAAAAAAAACAAATTTCATCATCTGCATTTCACTGCATTATTTGTGATTACTGTTGTGATTTTGTAAGTTCTAAAGTCAAGATTTATATTTAGGTAATCTATGTTCTACCTGAAAGTCCTCTGAAATTTTTGAATCATGTTTGTCGTACCAGGTCATAAACTGCTGTATAGTAATATCTTGAACAGCTGTTTCATGCTGTGGAGAAGGTTGTAAAATGAGTAGTGGACTAATCATGTCATATTGCATATAGAAGTGTTGTATTTGATTGTAGTTATTGGTAAATGTGATCCCTTTAATTATTACTACTTCCATATTCCATTTGTAAATGAAATGTAAGAAGGAAACTAGGGGAAAAAAAAAAACAACTCAGAACTAACTTAAGCACTGAGAAAATGTAATTCCAGAGCAAGTTACAATTATGTATTGGAGTTCAAATTCTTGTCAATAACTAACAAAGATGTAAAATCTTTTAAACTGCCCTTTAGGTTAATAGTCCATTTAAATCAGCTTTTACTTGGATGTACATAAACATGTGCACACACAGTTGGCATTTCTTTATAGCTTGCGACGCCATTCCTGATAAATGCATGTTTGTTTTTTTGTGGTTTGTTTTCTTTTTTAGGTGTCATTTGCCGATGCTCTATATCGGACTGGAATATGGTTTGACCAACAACTCAAAATTAGCTGAAAGGTTTTTCAGCCAAGCTTTAAGTATTGCACCTGAAGATCCTTTTGTTATGCATGAAGTTGGAGTAGTTGCATTTCAAAATGGAGAGTAAGCTTGCAAAATAGGATTAAATACAATCTTAAACATGGACTATTCTGAAGTGTAATGTGCCAATATATATACTGAAGTACTTACATTGAACTGTAGTTTCTTTTGGTTCTAGTTTACATGGTGTTTACCCTAAACCCTTGCTTTCTACATTGTTCTTCGTTGTTTAAGATTGAACGAGGAAAGCGTTTAATGCTTGAGGAACATGCAGAGATCAATTATTATCTTGTGTGTGCCTGTCATTGGGTAGTTGCATGCCTTGAAAAGGCATCTGTCTGCACACACAAGTGCACACATGCTATAAAGTTTTGTACAGCAAAACATTTTGTCAGCTCAGGAGGTTCCAAATATATTCTCAAAAAACCCTAACAGATATAAGAACTATTTAGTGAATATTCTTGGTTTGCTTCTGATTTTTTAACTTTGTCTTGTTAGCTCTTAGAGCACATGCAAAATATAGCCAAACGTAAATTACTGTTTTTTGACATTATTTCGTCATTGAGTGAAATTAGATGTAAAGAACTGTTCCTTGTAATACCATTTTCTCATACTGCTAATGAAAACTCTTCACTAATTTACTTTTCTTTCCTCCCACCCCCTCAATTCTTAGCTGGAAAACTGCAGAAAAGTGGTTTCTTGATGCACTGGAAAAAATCAAAGCTATTGGAAATGAGGTATTTTTCCTAATAACATGCATGATCATAAATCTGTAAAACTCCAGGAAATTCGGTAATATCTTGTGACAAAATATGCTGTGCTTATTTTAAGATTGAAGCAGTACAATATAAATTTGACTTTAAAACTTGGGCCATCTACTTGTCATTGAGTATGCTGGGTTTTTAGAAGACAATTATCACACATTATCTTCAGGGCTACAGGAAAAGGCAAAAAGTATGTTTCTATGTGAAATTAAAAGAAAAGAAGCATTGGCTGGAGAGTGGAATCCAGGTCTCGTTCTCAGTCCTGGGTCTTAGTAGACCAATGGTTCTTGACCTGAGGGTGGAACTGGGTACACGTGTGAAGATGCTTTCTGCCACCTTAAGTGTTAGCCATTTCTTGAATGACTTCCACTTTTGTTTGGACATAATCCTGTAGGTATGGATTTGTTTTCTTTCTACCAGATAGAGCCACTGTATGGGAATGGGCCCAGGGATGCTTAACTAACTTCCTGAAAGTAATCAAAATAATCACTGGCCAAAAGTTTGTCAGGAAATGTGCTTGTAGTTCAGGCACTTTTGTGAATCAAAAATCCACCAGTACAACCCTGATTCCTCAAATCCTGGAACACACAAATGAGTTCATACCTATCGGTAGTACCGTTTATTTTATTTGTGTGTTGTTATCTTGTCTAAAGAAACACATTGTACTTGAGTAACTTAAGAGGCCTTAATGAAAGCAGTACCACCTTGTGACAGGCTTCTTGTGAATTTTCTCAATTTTTAGCTTAAATTTAGTTAGAGGACACCACCTCATGCTACTATAACTGTTAATAAAGCATCTCCTACCAAGATAATGAAACTGCTTCTAGAGCACAATAAGCCTTCTATAAAGTGGAAAGTGCCGAAAAAACTATAATCTTCATGTGGACAAGGCACACGTTTACTAAAACAAACTGCACAGATAATAATTGATATGCTCACCAATATAAATAGGGTTGTTCTGTTGTAGTTAAAGCTGTTTTGTTGTTCATGTGAATGCTACAAACTTTGTAGATCAGGCTTAAATTTATGCATATGCCTACATTCTTTTTTGTGTGGCATTTTTCTTGTTTATTGAGAAGAACTAAATATCAACGTATCTATAAACACACAACTGGAAATTTAGAATTAGAGTGGGAAACACCTAAAATACCTAGAGATACAGAGATACTCTTGCATTGTTATAAATCGCAAATTCATAACACAATCCAGTCCAAATGGGTTTTAATTTCAGCAAAAAGTGTTTTAAGGATTTTGTTGTCTTCTGTGTGACAAGATTGACACAGATTGTCTTCTGTGTGCCTCGTAAACGAGCTAATTTATTTAAAGCACATGAAGTTAGACTATGGAGAAGACAATAAAAAGACCTTCAGTATTTATGATTATTTTACAAACGCCTAACTTGAGGGGTCTTCAGTGCTCCTAGGCTGAGAGACTTGATGTGATTTTTAGTTAAGTAGAAAACAAATTTTGTTTGGTTTGCATCCAAGTTTCACTATCACTGACCCTGTAAAGAAATTTAATTGGGTTTGGGGAACAGAAAAAATAGAAAAATGAGTTATTGAATGAATGTTTTGAGCTTAAATATGTGTTTTGAAAAGAATTGAAAATGCTTGTGATTTTTCTTGGTCATGAATTAATTGCCTTGTTAATTGTATGTTGTTTTTTTTAAAGTAGACAAAATTCAGTTACAATCTGGGAAGCTGCAGTTATTTGAATTGTTGCATTATTTTGCAGGTAACAGTTGATAAGTGGGAGCCTTTATTGAACAACTTAGGACATGTCTGCAGAAAACTCAAGTAAGCAGAGAGTACTGGAGCTACGTTTATCTGGAATACTACACAAATGTGTTTTCTCTAGGCCTACTTTTCATTTATATCAAGATTACGTATCACATGAGAGCAGTGTAGAAGCACCTTTTAACAACAAGATTCCCTAAATCAGCTTGTGAACGTAAATACATTAATTGCCCCTTATATCCCGTTTACTACACACAAGTTAAAGTACTTAATGTAAAAGCCTTTCCTTAACTATTGATTGTTATTAGAGATCTGGTCGTAGACTCTTAGATTCTTGTATGGGTGTGAATTCTAACTGGCTACTGTCCCAGTCCTGACAAACTTGAATATGTCCACTGATTTAATTAACACAAAGGTGGTTTTGTGCCAATTAATTGCTTGGATCAGTGCTTATGTTTGTGGTGGTTTTTTTTTATTGAAGAGAAATACTCAGTGACATTAACATAGCAATAAAGTATTACTTTATGGTTTTTGAGAACAGGACTATTTCACATTTCATTTCATATTTCCGTTCTAGGAAGAGAAAAAGAAAGTACAAAGTACATATGCAAGCTTTAACAGGTTTAACATAGAGAAATGTTTTCTCATTAATTACCTTAATCTGATTTTAACCAGTGTTTTCTTTTGTTTAATCAGTGCCATATCTTTTTTTTTTTTTTAGTGTCATGGTTTTATTTCTCCAATTGGTGTATACTATAATTTTTGTTTCAGAGCTGCTAATGGGAATGTGACTATGGTGGATATAAGTTGTACTTCCGCTTTGGTAGTAATTGCTTTGTGCTTGAATTGCCAATTAGTCTTCATTTTCTTTATGAAATACAGATGTATAATAGTTACCCCTTCTGCCAAGATCAAACAAAAGGCACTGCTTCTGGAATCTATTAATGAGTATAATTGCAGGTTTTTTTCAAATACTTGTTTCATTTATAATTCCTTTTGTCTTTTTTAATTTCTACAATAAGTTTTACTTATTACCAAGTAATTAAGTACTAAGTTACTAACTTAACTGCTTACATCACACTTAGGACAACTTGCACTGTATTATTTGTTTGGGTTCAGAAAGCCAACCTAATGTATTTCTACATCCTTGTAAACCATCTTTGAAGAAAATCAAGTTGAGAATTTAGGCAGCTGTACATGTGCTTTGACAACATAAAAAATTCTGTAATAACTAATTTGCTAGTGTTTGTAATACATGATATCGCTATCATGAAAAAACTTACTGGATATATGTCTACTCACTAGCATTATGTGGTTGAAATTTGAAAGCAGCGTATTAAAATATAGTGGTAGTTAATTGGACAGGTAAATACTATGAGTGAAAATAAACTTCAAATCATGTGAAAGTTTTGTGCAGCGAGAAAACAGTTGCATAATTTTTCTGCCTCAATTGTTACTTAATGCCTTCTAACAATTTCGTGTGTTGCTGTTTGCATAATTTCATTATAACTATAGACATTAAAATTGCTTCTGAATAGACAATTGCTATCTTTATTTTTAACAACTTGGTACTAGGATGCCAAATGTAACCATTTAATTTTTCAGAGTAATGCCATAATGTACACTTAATCCTTGTTTTATACAATAACAAATGCAATAAGCAGTCTAATTAATGGATAATTTTCAAAGAAAGGGTGGCTGGTATTTGAAAGAAATTATGGATATGTGTAACTCTTCTGATAGAGACGGTAGCAAAATGGAAGTAACAAAAGTACCAGTGTATGTAGCACTTAAGGGTTGTGAAATTTCTGCCCAGAGAGCTTTTTTCACTTTGAACAATGAGTGATTTAGTCTCGTATTGCTCCTTCGCTCCCCTGGGGAGGAAAATGAAAGCAACAGAAAGCAAGCTAATGTTACAATGAACAGCGTTAAACATCTAAAGCAATTTACCATACCACATTGCTAAGATGATCTCCAAATGGGGCCTAGCTGTAGGCAGCTGTTGTCTACGTAAGGGGAACACTGATTTCTCAGTTACGTTGAGGAAGAAAATTGTCAATATCCATGAGTCTTTTGTGCATTCTATTATGTTCAGAGTATGAAGCAATAATTTTTAAGTTCTTGCAGGATTGCATGCTACTGAGCTAAGCAAAATCGCATTGCTAAGATGATCTCCAAATGGGGCCTAGCTGTAGGCAGCTGTTGTCTACGTAAGGGGAACACTGATTTCTCAGTTACGTTGAGGAAGAAAATTGTCAATATCCATGAGTCTTTTGTGCATTCTATTATGTTCAGAGTATGAAGCAATAATTTTTAAGTTCTTGCAGGATTGCATGCTACTGAGCTAAGCAAAATACCGATATACTACTATAAAAACACCTTTCACCCCGAAGCTTACTAATAGACCTTCTGTACTTAACCCTAACAGGAAATACGAAGAAGCACTGGAATACCATCGCCAGGCTCTAGTACTAATTCCTCAAAATGCTTCTACTTACTCTGCCATTGGCTACATACATAGTCTAATGGGCAATTTTGAAAGCGCAATCGACTATTTTCATACGGTATGTAACTGCCTTAAATTGAAGTGCCGGCCACAGATTCTGTTATTTACTGTTTCAGTCTGGTTTGGTTTTAGAACAGAGAACCAGCACTTTATCCAGCCTCCAAATCAGTGTCTATTTTGTAATCTTAAAATTTTTTTGAAAAGTCTTCCTAAGTTTTCTATTGATTCGGTAAAAAATGGCCACTTTGTGAAACTTAGTAGTTGAATTCTTCTTTGTTATAAATTAATTGAATTTCATAATTGTCATACACATTTTATGTACATAAACTTCTCATGCAGCTGAAATGATTTAAAATACTTCCAGCCTATGCCTTGAAGTAGAAATTTTACAGTAAGTGCAACATTTAAAGATACGCTATTTCCTGTTGTCTCAGATTTATCTTTATTATATGATACTTGTGTATTATTATTGCAGGACAGTTTTGGTGATTTCACGTTTTCATAGAGTAACAGTGAATTTTCCTCCGTTGAATTTTCAGCATTCGAGTTGATTGGCCTGAATTTAGCTGCAGTTCTATTTACCTAGAAGCTTGTATTACGTATGTTTAGTTGTAATTACTTCAAGCATATCTCAATCTATTTTGTTATAGATTGTAGCTTAGCTATACAAAATTAACTTCCTCACAGATTTTATAATCATTATTTTAGTAGTATGTTATACTTCATGATTTGTGAACAATTCTCTGTCTGTGTACATACCCTTTTCTGGTTTTGTTTTTGTGCTTTGCTTGCTTCCTACTTCAGCCAGTTCATATGACAGTATTATTTTGGTTGTGCAATGTTTGGCTTTTACAGTGAAGACTACGCTCTGGTAGCACTGTTGAGCAACAAAACAACAAACTCAGAACCACCATGGACTTAAGATGTAAATGGTTTTATTTGCTACTGAATACTTTTCACTGTTGTTTTTTTTTAATAGGCCCTTGGTCTTAGGAGGGATGACACATTTTCAGTCACAATGCTTGGACATTGCATAGAAATGTATATTGGTGATTCTGAAGCCTACATTGGTAAGTCTTTCACTTACGTGACTCTTAAGTCATCGAGTGCTTTGAGAGGAGTCTTATTCTTACACCAAGAAAGACTGTCTACCATTACCTGGTTAACTTACAAAGTAGAGTATGTTTTTGTTTATTTGGTTTTTTGTTGTTTGTTTGTTTTTTAAATGGCTAAATGAGTCAGAACTTACCAGCAATTGCAGATGACCACTGTTTTTTGTAAGCATCATGACAGTAAATTCTTACCAGTAGAAAGAAAGGAAACACTTCGCCATTGGAGGTGGTGATGGTTCCCTTTTATAGAAATACTGATTTGTGGCAGCTTAGAAACCAAAGGGAATGGGGAAAAAATAAAATAGAAATACGGAGTTAGAAAATCAGAGGACTTGATTTCAGCTAATGCTGCTGCAGAGGTGTGTGCAAGGCATTTTCACCATGTCACAACTCTGCTCTGTGGAGACAGGATAAATTCTTCTGCCTCCAAAAATAGAGCTTTACATATGGTAAAAAAAAAAAAGTGCTTCATAACGGTAATGCATTATATTGCCATAGTTTGAAAAATTCTGTGAAAGCTTTCTGCCCAAAAAAACCCTTTATAGCGACGTATTTCTGCTTCATTGAACTTACTGATTTATCTGTAATGAACACAGTTGATGTCCTGTCAAGCATGTTAATGAAGCTGAAGCCAGTAAAAGCCATCTGTGTGCTCTATTGCTTTTCCTGCAGATTTTTCGCACAATTGAAGCAGATGTTTCTTCTCAATATTGTCTTGCTCCATATGTAGTCAGTTAACACATCTGGAAGAACCATGCAGCTGTGTGATATGCATTAATGCAAACCATGCTGTGGGTAACTTAAACAACAAAAAAAGCCTCTTAAAGAATTGGGAAGGGAATTGGCAATTACTTCTAATAACAGACTTTTGAATCTGAATTGTACTTCTCATATTGTGCTTTTTTCAAAGAGGAGGCTGCTGTATTTTTTCAGAACAACTCTATTCAACTTCAGTCATTAAGCAGCAACAGCTCCTGGTTGATCTGAAAGCAGAGTATCATAGTAGTTTCTGGATGATAGTTTCTTTGAGATGCATTTTTTTGGGGCCAGAGGGGAGCGTTTACTTGGAATAAACTAATGGTTTGACTGTTTTCCTAGGAACAGAGATCAAAGACAAATTAAGATGTTATGACTTTGATGTACACACAATGAAGACATTAAAGAACATAATTTCACCTCCCTGGGATTTCAGAGAATTCGACATAGAAAGACAAACTCTGGATGAAAGTGGCATAGTAACATTAGAGACGTCACATCAAAGGAAAAGTACAGATACCAGTCGCCCATTGGAAGAAACGTTTGAGATTGAAATGAATGAAAGTGATATGATGTTAGAAACATCAATGTCAGACCATAGTACGTGACCATAAACGCTGGTAGAGAGCTCATTTTGTCCAAGTGTAATATGTTTGTTTTAGCATTTTTGTTATGGTGTTATAATTTCAAGAATTTGCTATTTTTATATGAATTCAAACTACTACTCTACTTAACACCGGAGAAATAATGCTTGCCTTAAGGATGATTAAAAAGTATACATGATGGACTATTTCTACAAAATTAATCATACATGATGAAGTAAAAAATAAAATCACTTTTTTTTTAAAAACTGTTTACTGATCCATGTGTCTGCCATTAGTAAGACTGTGAAAGTTTAAAAGTAGTACTTTACATGGAACCATTAACAATGTTGTTAAATTGAATAGCCAGTCTAATATAGTAGCATTGTGGCTTCTGAGTTTTCATCCTGTCTGTGAGGAATGCTTTCTTAGTAAATAGACCAAAAAAAATCCATGAAGTTTTACACTTACTACTTTATAAACATGTATTCCTTTAAGGAGCAATTTCAGTGGTTTTCCATCATTTGACTCTAATTTGGCATACATTAAATTGATGACAAAGCATGTTACTTTGTTATACTTTCTCCTAGTTATTAATTTCACTTCTTTATCATTCTATATTGTATTACTGAAAGATCATTTAAGAACTGCTTTCGGTAAGCTGACTAAACAAACTTGAATGGCATAAACATTAAGATAAATCAGTCTTACCTGCAATTAGAGTTACAATAAAGTTGCAAGCCACAGTGTACTACTGTAGGGACCGCAGTCATTCTCTTGACACATAGTTGTTTTGTCAATGCAAAGGATTAACTGAATAATACACACACAATGTTTTTACAAGTCTCTAAAGTGTGGTATTTTTATGTCATTGGTTCACTGAAAAATGAAGAAGTAAAGCGTATGCCTCTGAAACAGAAGCAGTGATTTCTCCATCCTCTAAACAGGACAGGTCTGTTTGCCTTCTTAGCATGAATGCTGAACGTATTTTGTGTAAATTTTTCCCTTCCCTTCTCTTCTTGCCTTTTCCACATGTCACTGTGTGGGGCTTAAAATTAAAAACTTAATGCTACAGCCTGTCATAATATTTTCTTCTGTGACTTCCATCTAAGTTTGGGCATTTAATGTTTAGGATAGATTTCCTGAAGTTTAGCAGTCCAGACTTTAGTGTGAAGTACTTCAGAACTCAAGAACTAGCAATTTTTCTGTAGACAAAGATTTTTCATGAAATACAAAAATTATTTTTGTTGTAGTCAGCTAAATAAAATCATTGGTCTAAAATGTAATTTCTACACTCTATCTCAGTACATTTGTGTTAATATTTAAACATGTATTTTCAATTATACTTGTAGCATAAAACATATATGTTTGATTATTGTGATATAATTTTCATCCACTTCATTGGGGTAAGGTATAAAAAAAAACCTGACATGCTAGTGCGATTCATTAAGTATTTCCTATACCTTTTTTTGGCACTTCACGTAACTAAGAGGAGACAAGGCCTGAATCCAAGTACCCGTATTAAAACCTTGCTGTCATTTTTGCTTTCCTGCAGTCCATCTGTCTTGATTAACGGTCCTCTTAAAGTAAACATTGTCTGTCTTAAAGTTTAATTTTGCCAATGAATGGATATCAAAGGATGGGCTGATACTGTAAACTTCTGAGTGATTTTTTTATTTTGTATAGAGTTTTGCATAAAGTGGAAATTATAAACTACTACTACGCATCCCACTACATCTGTCTCATGGCTCTTTGAGTTCTCAGTGGCCAGGTTCTGAATCCTAAGGAATGTACACTTAGTAGAGACGGCTACTTGGAAGAAATTGATAGGTGGGAAGGCCTTCATTTATCTGAGGATTCTCACTAGCCAATCTGAGATACCTGTTAGTGAATCAAAATGCTAATTTTCCTTTTTCCTCTGTTTTGCCATGTTGTTTGCTTGCTGCGCTGCTCAGACGGACTTTTCTGCTGTGACTGATTATCTTCGTTCTTTGGCTTTTTTCCTAATAGTGCTCTCATGAATCCCCATCTGCATCAGGGAGACTTCATTGCTTCAATGCAGGCCGCATACATAGTTTGAATCCAGGGTATTGGCTGTTTTGTACATGTCTGTGCATTACTGAACATGGATTCAAGTTCTAGACACACCCGCACTTTAAAAGTCAAGGGTATGGAGCGAGGAAAAGCTAGGGGGAGAGTCTGTGTTTTAACAGCAATTCTACACGCTCTCACTGTTCAAACCTGGTTGGGTCCAGGAGATCCCCTTGCTCTCCTGTGAATACCAACGCGGTATTGTAGAGAAGTCAGGTTCTGTCCCAGTGACAGCGGGAATTGTTCGGTGGCTCCACAGAGGGACTTATAGATGCCTAAGTTACCATTCCATACATTAGAATGTATGGATTGGAGTATGTGTCCAGTGCAGAATTCAATACCCATCCCATATGTTCTTAGATATTAGAAAGTAAGGTGAACGAAAATGTTTTACTTCCTAGTTCTAAAGCGCTTCACCCAAAGTTGCATGTTCTCCTGAAAAATGTGGGATGAGCCATGAGTCTCAAGTGGAAAAGTCTTTATCCAAGCAGAGTGTGGGGAAAAAAGAATCACTCAGGAAGCGTACGCACCTCCTCTCCAGCTGCCAGGTCTCTTTCCTTCAGTGTGGCTGGCTAAAAAGCTCATACAGAGGGCTTGCTTTTCTTTTGGTATCTGGTAGTTTGTGTGTGGTTCAGGTGACTTCTTATGTTTGAGGTAAACTGGAGATTTTTCCTGGGCACGCTAGAAGACTCTGGCTAGTTAAGACTCTACAAGGAGTGTGTCTCAACAGCCACCGTGTTAGGCAAGTCTCATCCGTTAAAGGATCTTTTTGGTAGTTATTTTTACATCTGTGCTTATGTATCCTGAATGATTGTAACCAAGAAGACCATCTCATGGATAAAGTGACAGCAAAGGCTTGTTGCTGTACACAGAGCAGCCAGAAGGCTATTGCCAACAGATTCTCAAAGAGCCGAACTCCTTTTTCTCTATAACCTTTTTTTTTAATCCAGCATAAATAAATGTAGTTTTCTAGTAAGACATCGTGGCAATTTCTACATGGAAGTTGGCAAACAAGTCTTCTAGCAAATCAGGCCTTTTGTCTAATGTCAGGCATGGATATAAGCCTTGGGTTGTTTCCTTTTTCCTATGTTACTACTATTTCCATTGAAAAAATAGTTTAAAAGATTGATAAAAGTTATTATTTCTTCCTGCACTCTCCAGTTATGATCTGATGGTATGTCAGCTCTGATGACAATACTGGTTTATAGTATTCCTGCCCTGCCCATAGCAATCTACGTACCCCTGTGCTACTTACTCAGTTGTGGTAATATCAATGTTTGTGGTTATGTTGTGAATCAAACCAGGGAACTGGTCCAGCATTTAAAAATCTTGTCTCTATCTGATCAGTTCTCCAGTTCAAAGACAGCAAACCGCTGCTGTGTTAGTGTCATCAGTGGGGCAGAGTGGTAGGAGTGGGAAGAAACGGGTGGAATAGCGAGAATGGGTGTTGCTATAAAGGCAGCATATCATGACACTGTGCCTTGGCAGGTATCTGCTGGAGGTTTTTTGGCTGGCTGCTGCTGGCCTTCATTGGCATTAAAAGTTACCTAGAAAGAAACGTATGCAAAGTGTCCTAGATTGTGAATGACTTTTCCTGGACGTCAGAGGAATTCTTGATATGACTTGGCTCGGCTCCCAGCCCTTTAGGCAGCTACAGTTAGGTTAGAGCTTGTGAGCTGGTTGATGATGTGCGTCTCAGACAGGACTTTAGGAAAAGTTTCTCTCTCCTCCTTTCTCTTCTGTTCAATCTTTTGATCTGCTCTCGTTCTGCCCAAATCCTTGTCTTTGCACCAGCAGCTCCTGCTGTGCCCTAGTCTTCCGCACTTCCCAGCACTCGTCCTGCTCCAGTCCTGCTCTTGCCTGGACTCTGCTTCCTAGATAGTGCTTGGTGCCTTTCTCGGTTATTCTGATATTCTGATTTTCACCCTGGCTCTAGTTAAATTGAGTATTGTCCTTGTCCTCATGAGGTCTTTGGTTATTAATTTTTGTCTGACTTGACTTCAGGTTTTTGACTTTTGCTTCAAGTCATTGGCTTTGGCCATTGGATACAAGGGTCCAAGCACTTCATCAGGTTGAATAGCTTATCCACATGTCCCCAGAAGAGACATCCTCACTCTGCCACATAACCTGATCTCTTGCAAGGATCAGTCTTGTCCCAGAGTGGGGCGACCTGGCTGTTGCCTTAAAGGTGTTCAGAATAGGTTTCAGAGTTTCCTTGGCCAATGTCACCTGCTTTTATTATTCTGCATCAAATCATGTATTTCCTTTGTGTTGTGGACAGCTGTTTGAGGACCAACAATGCAGCAGCATCTCAAGATTTGCAATGACCCTGTGTATTCTGCTTAAATTGCAGGCACTTTTGCTCATTCTGTCCAGTTTCAGTAGCTCCAGAGGAGTCCATTGGTATACCCATGACATGTGCCCTTACTTAGGAGTTTGCTGCCTCTGTCAACAAGCCTAGGAGAAGTAGTCCAAGATATCGCAACTCACACAGGAATTTCAAGAAACTTTTTGGATCTAGACATTGCAAAATTTGTTGATTGCAATCTAGGACTGAATAAGCCTTGATGTCATTAATGGGTCAGTACTTACTTCCAGACCAGCCACCTGGAAGACCAGTTTCCCCTGGGAGGTCTCAATTCAGGGACACCTTGCAGGTGAGAGCTTATTCTGAAGCTATATTGCTATGTTGCTATATTGCTATATTGTTCTTGTTGTTATTCTGCTCATTACTGGTGACCTCCCCAGGGACTTGCCACTGCCAGAGACCAGCCTGCAGCACTGTCTGACTCTACAACCACTCGTACGTCCTTATTTGATACGTTTCTCTTATCCATTAAGACAAATCAGATGCCAAGCATCTTACCAATATTTGACAAAAGCTGTTGGGGTTGATGCAGAAGACCACAGGATGTGAGGCTCTGTAGGAGGAAAAGCAGCAGCTGAAATTTGGGGAGCCAGTCAGAAAGGCAAGGAGACATCAGCCAGAACTCTCAAGCCTACTGCATGGCCTGGGAAACTGAGGCTGGTGGTGCATTGCCTGGGTGCAGGCACTGCTCTTCTAGGTTGACAAGATATTCCCCGCAGGCACAAGGCTCGTGAGCTGATGCAAGTTAATGGGTAATGGCCTCTTTTCCCTTTTCCCACCCTGTTTTCTCCCCAGGACCTGGCTAGGCTCTGCATCCCAAGGTGCTGGGTGACACGTCCCCGAGGTGGCTGTGACCATCCTGCCGTACGAGGCAGAGGCAAGGCCATGGCAGAGGGGGGCCTGAGCCAGGCCTCTGCAGCCAGGGGTACCAGGCATCCATGGGTCTAGGTCGGGGCCACCAAAGGAGGGAAATGGACAAATTTCTCTGTCCTCCCCTGCCCACCAGCACAGTGGGGGCCCCCTGGGGTTCCTGAAAGTGTCTCTCCCCGCCATCAGGGAGGCTGGGGATGGGGACGGGG